CATATATATTATTGCTATTGTAATATTGCAATAAAATAAATATTTGTCAAAAATGATTAATTATTAAATATTATAAATTTAATAATTAATTACATTGACATACTATTTTATTTGAAATAGAGAAATGAATACTAATGAAAATCAAATATGATTTAAATTAGAAATATCAATGTGAATAGAAAATGTAAGCAATTATAGACATATCCTGCATAGAGACTATTATATATGAATGATATTTTCAATATATATGAATATCCATATTGCATTTCCCACACTATATACGATTTCTTCGCACCTCGCACCACTGTTTGGGCTGGCAATAATTTAGTGACGCAGTGGCAGCCGAAACCACATTCTTAATGATTTGCATAAAATGGCGATGCGATAAAGTAATCAACCCAAATTCGGCGCAAATATTCGCACGGTTAGCTGTCGCAGCGTCCGCTTGACGCGACGCCAGCGACGCAGCCAGCGCAGACGCCAGCGTCGCAGCGACAGCGCCAGATTCAAGCGGCGCCAGAAGAGCTCCAGCAAGAGCATCAGAGCTGAACGGAATTGCAYAATCATGAGCCACTCATATTATTCATATTAAACACACTAAATGCGTGACCCACTGACCTGCAGTGACAAAGCCCACGGCGAGGGCAATGAATGCGCCCTGGAGCATGCGTAGATTCAGGGCGCTAATCATTTCGTTGTCCTGGCTGTGCTGCGGCTGGTCCTTGACCTCGTTGCTCATGACATTGGCATTCGCATTGGCATTGGCGTTCTCCACGGCAGCCAGCTCCTTCGACTGCTGTGCCTGATCCTTGGTCATTTGGCGAGCCTGCGCCTCGTACTCGCCCATTGTCATCTTTTCCAATATGCCGCCCTCAAACAGATGCATGAGACTAAAATAAGGGTTAAGGGTGTTGAGATAGTTAGTGAATCTTTTATATATTCCAACTTCCACCCACACATCATTCAGGCTGTCCAAGAAGGGACAGCCAATCTGCACAGCCACCGCGGAGTAGCGTGTGTATAGCTTCTGGCTGAGCTGAAACTTCTTGGCTCCGTATTGCTGTATGTTGAAGTAGAGCGTCTCACGGCCACCGAGCACCGCCTTGTTCTCCCTGCCATCGGCAATCAGCTTGATGCCCGCCTCCACGGAGTCGATGAGGAAGCCCTGCGGATCGTACGGTTGCTGTTGACGCATCTGGGCATACAGTTGCCGAAAGAGCTCAGTGCCGTTCTCCAGCATCTCTAGCGAACTGCTCTCCTTCTCCACGTACAAGCGATAGCCGTCCCGCAGCATGGCTGCCTGCAGACGCTGCAGCGTGTTGATGGGCGCCTCGTGAGCCGGGCGTGCAAACTGCGAGGTCAGCTGGGCCGAGTAGACATCAGCCAGCACATAGGTGGCCGCCACCCAGTAGACGATGGTCAGGAACTTGGTGCGATAGTCGTGGTAGAGCTCGTGGCAAGCTGAGTGACAAACGAAAGGAAGGTCAAGTGGTTAGCCCAGGACAGCTTAGACTACTCTATTGGCGTATAAATCGCAGCTGTACGCTCACATTGCTTCAGGAACAGGCGCAGCGTGAACCAAATGCAGCGCTGAAACAGCTGCGCCGGCATCTCTGCCGACGTCTGCGGCCGGACGGGTCGCATGTGCCTGACCTTCAGCACACAGGGCGTTATCTCATTGATGTAGGCCATGTGGATGCACAGTTCGCCCAGGCGCTCCACGTCCATGGCGATGCGTTGCCTGCGCCACTTGTAGGGCATGATGATGATGCCATAGAATATCGGGCCCGAGAACACAATGGTCAGAATCAGATATGGCCAAATGTCGAGCTTGAAGGGACGCATTATGGCCAGGGCCTCGTTGAGGCGACGCGGCGCGTGCGTGGCGAAGGCGCCCGAATCGGCGAGCGTAAAGAATGAGAACTCAATCGCCTTGCGACGCTCCCAGCTGAGGCCCACGTCACCCAGAAAGAAATCTGCCAGCTGCAACGAGAGATCCCATGTCAATTTGTCAGCGGCCACAGAGGACTCTGCAGTCACTAATATATTCAATTCGTACACCACTCTGAAGCATGCCGATGCCGCCGGTGAAGCTGTCATTGGCCTCGCCATTGTCGTCCGTGCCACGCAGCGCGCCCTGCGTCCTGCCCGGCGCCTCAATGTACTCGAACGTAAAGTTCATATGTTGGCGCAAGAGCACCAGCAATTGATGATCTCGACCTCCCGTCACATTCGCCTTCTTATAGCCCCCATTCTCGTACTCCTCCTCGGTGCCGTTGCCATTGCCGTTGCTGTTGCCGTTGCCAATGTTGTTGCTGTCGTTGTTGTAGCTCACCCAAAACCATGGCGGCGACTGCAAGAGTCAAGTTTCTACTTGAGCAAGATGTGCTTTAGATATTATATCTATCATCGCGGCAGTTTCTTCAAACATAAACAAAGTGAAACGCCTTTAGTGTGGGAAAAAGTAAATCGTTTCTACTAGAAGACATCAAAAGTCTAGACAAAATATTTAAATTTCCTTGCGTATTTTCTAATTGCATGGAACTAGATGTCTGGTAATTGTATATTTAATCGATATACTTAAAAGGAAATAGAAAGTATTTCTATTCTAAGCTGTCTAGAATTTATGGCTTAGATCAATAATATCTGTTGGCACGTTTTCGCTTTTTACATATTTGAGAAAATGGAGCAACGAATCTGTATCAAATTTTTGACCAAAAAACAATATGCTAATAATGCCACTCATTTGCAAAGTGAAATAAGTATATTGGGGTTTTAGTATCTGTTCCTTAAAAAGTATTCGTTAGTAGATAAAAATGACGTCACATAAAATGGGAATAAATTTTTAAACGCAGAGCTGAGAAGGAATTTCAATCGATTTTTGACGCATGTGAAAAATATAAATTTCAAATTGAAGAAAGACATTAAAATTATAAAAAAAAAATTAATAATAACATTAAT